GTTGACAGAGAGGAGAAGGTAGAAATGACTCAGCCTGGAACTGAAAATATGGATGGAGGACAACAGAGCTGCTTCATGGAACAAGAACTTCAGTTTAGCTTGTTAGCTGTAGCATTAGCCCCGACGCTATCGTCATATATATGCATTAGCTTAGCGCTACACGTTCTCCTCTCATCACTGAGGTCCTCCATCCATATGACAGAGAGGGGAACGCAAAAATGACTCAGCCTGCAACTGAAAATATGGATGGAGGACTTCAGTTTAGCTTGTTTGTTGCGCTAGCACTGACCTAATACATTTAAGGCAATATAGCATCAGAGCTAGTGCGAAGGCTAACAGGCTAAGCTGAGGTTCTTCTTCCATGAAGCAGCTCTGTCAAATCAAATAAAGTCTAATGTTACAATTAATTAGTGATCCCTTTAAAGAAAGAGTTCACATCAGGTTATGAACAATTAATATCCTACCTGTTGTAGATGGCTCTTTGAACAGCCTCTATTGAAATAAACAGAGCTTAATTTTGACCAGAATAATGAGCTAACAGCAAGTTTCAAAACTGCCAAGATTATGATGATGCCATTCTCAAACAACTCCAACTAAAATTAATAATTCGTGTTTTCTTTTTTATAAACCTATACACATCTATATACATTGTTGTGAGCTTTGTATTACACATTGTTTTACTTAAAATTTCATGGATATTTGCAAGTGTAAACAGCAACAGCAGCAGCTAGCTGTAGGACTTCTGAAGCCTGTTAGCACTTTATTTAAAAATATATTTCTCCCTTGATTATAGAAGAGTGTAACAGGAAGTAGTTGGTGGAGTAAACATCTATAAGATAGTGTTCAAATAAAAACTTAGATTATTTTTGTGATTGAAGCTAGTTTTAACAAAGCAGCATTTTAGTTTTGTCTCAGCTACGCTTGGACTAGCATTTAGAGCTTATCAAAATAAAACTCTTAAACTTTTCCAAACTGAGGTTGTCCAAAGAGGACAACAATAGGTAAGAAATTAATTGTTCATAACCTTACTCCAGAAGCACACTTCAAAGGTTCTGAGCTGTAGCTGTAATAAACCTGCAGAGTGGAAGAAGGACCTACTTGGGAATGGGGGAAAATATGCTGAGCCCAGCACGGAACTTCTTGATGGTTCCTCCAGCTTTGAACCAGCTATGCCTCTTTTCCTGCTGGGCCTTGAGGAACTCATTACTGAGGTGCTTCCACTGCTGGGAGGTGAACGTGCTCAGGATCCTGCCACATTACAAAACAATCTGGGCTGAGTTACACCTTCAACTGAAAACCATTTAAAGAACAGATGTTGTGCTAAAGTCAAAATATTTTATAGTAAACCAAAGTTAAGCTACAATATATTAAATTAGATTATTATATAAAGTGTATCATATCATAGAATCGCTTACTTTTTGAGTTGCAGGCCTAGACTGAATCCCTCTTTGTTTGAAGGCTGGAAAACTTCTACTGACGGCTCTGAATAAATAAAGATGACTAATATTATTACACAATAAAGAGATACACACAAGCTCTGTCTTTCCCTCTCCCTCCTGTATGCCACAGACTGTACTCGCCGCCCACTCTCGGTGAGCGGCACAAATACATCGCATTCCTCATAGAAAACCAACATCCACGCCGACATCTTTACTCACCAGGTCCGTCGAGGTACTGGGAGAGAGAAAAGCGCAATCGCAGGATAATGGGCTCTGTTCGGATAACTTTCCAAGCTGTCGCAACCTCCTCCTGAGTCATACACACACACACATGGGCACAAACACACAGATTTAGCAGCCTAATTAGGGCCATTTCTCATTATATAAATAACTTATGAGTACCCGATGCATTATAAATGATGTGTTACTTTGCAAAATGTCAACGTTAGAATAGCAATGGGCAAAGTCAGAGGCGGTGTTTGCAGTGTACAGAAAATGCTGACTCACATCTAAGAAGCCGATGTTAATATGAAGATCGATGTCCACATCATCGATGGTTCCATACTCCCTGCGCAGAGACACAACAAGGAATACGGCAAAATGTCACACTCCAATCATTTTTACTCATTCAACTCAAAGGGGGATAAATTACACTTATTATTGTTGCACACTTAAAGGCAGTGCTGATTTGATCTTGCCACAACTCAGTTATTTATTTAAAAAAAGGTAGAATATGTTGTGTGTATATGTGTGTGTGTCGGTGCAGATCTACCTGACAGAGATAGCACTGTCAGTGTAGATGTCTTTCACAGCCTCTATGTCTGCATCTAGCTGAGGGTGGCGGTACAGGTCAGCAGCACAACTCCCCTGCAACAAGCAGCACTGGTCACAGTTATAGCAGCGAATGAATTCTCAATGGTTCTCAGCAGTGTTTATCCACACATATCCCACGCACACACACACAGAAACATGATTAATTCAACCAGGTTTTTTGACTGCCTCACTATTCCCGAACAAAACACATTTTGCTAAGGTTTTCTCAGAATACTTTGCATCACATTTTTCTCTCCAGTTATCATAAACAAGAGGMAACAAATTATGTTCCATCCCTGTGAGTGTACTACAGATCCTTAACTCCCATCCTTATCTTTACTGCGCTGGTTTTATGTGTTCTGACTTCACCTGAAATGAGCTTTACTTCACTTACATTTCAGTCAAAAGACTTTGGAGACGGTGAAAAGATAAAAAAGGATAACTAACAGACTTAAAATATCCGCTGGAAGCAATAAACTTTTTGAAATATTTTTAAAAAATCACTGTATCTTAGTGCAAAAAAGAAACATCCATGCCTGTTGTATACACTTTTAAACAGAGGTGWATAAAGTACTATGTGAAAGTAAAAACCGTACCAGATAATGAATTTTGCTGATAAGAAAAAGCGTAAAACTACTTACAATAATCAAGTAAGTAAAAGTAAAACTACTTATACACACACATCAACAAGTGAAGTGCTGAATTTACTTAACCACTTCAATTTTTTTAGTGCATCAACAAATCCTTTCATTATGAGTTCTGGTCATATTGAAAATTGTAGCATGGAACAAGGTGTTAAATTTAAAAGTAAAGAAGCAGAAGTAGTTTGAATGTAAAAAAAATTAAGGAAAAGTTGCAATTTAAAAAATACATGGTAAAATTATACATACATACATACATACATACATACATACATAC